TTGGCCACGGCGAAAATCGGATGGAACGATGAGCTGAATGAGATATACGACGCCATTAACATAGTTCAGCGAATTAAAAACAGCGTAGCCGGCTAGATCATGTCGTCCAAAACACTCCAGCTCTGAAAGTGTTCGACGCAGTACCTGCCAGGAGAAACAGAGGAAGAGGAAGACCTCCACTCCGTTGGAAGGATAAGGTGGAGAATGACCTGGCTTCGCTTGGAATCTCCAATTGGCGTCACCTTGCGAAAAGAAGAAATTACTGGGGCGCTGTTGTTAATTCGGCTATAACCGCGTAATCGGGGTCTACGTCAGTAAAGCAGAAGAAGCAATCACCTAACTTAAATGAACGGCCAGGCCCTGTTGGCACCACACCATGCAACTGTATGCTATTTTGCGCACAGAACCCGTCGAAATAACCGGCAGATGTATAGCTAAGAAAGTTTCTATTAAACTCAGAGAAGTGGGTTTCTAAGTGAAAATCTGCTTGAGCACTCTGGCATCCTCATACACACTTGTAATGGGTACAAGACGCCTTGTCAATACTTAAAATACCGTTCTCACGATAGTCGGGTCTACGTAACTGGAAGGGACCTGGATTTTTATCCGGTCAAGGACTGTCAACTCGGCAGAATTTTGCCGCTTCAAAAACAATACTTAAAATCTAATTGCTATCTAGGAATTCTTTTACTAGCTTCAGAAAGCACTGATCATTATCGGTCCAAGTAAGACCCTCTTTTATTTACCGATCTAAACAGATTTTAATCTTGGAAATAATCTACATAAGTTCCGATTTAAGTGTATATACTTTAATTCCTTTAATTTAGCGAATCGGAACAACTCGTTATTTAAAAACACCACCACTCAGTTTATTATGCATCTAAAACTTTTATTTTATTCCGTTTTTTATTTAATACATATTTTTTTATAGTCTTCTCTTTTCTGCAAATAGGAATAGTTTTCACATTATCGAAACGATCTTTAACGAATTATATATATGTGCATACTTACATATTTATATGTACATACAATGCATGTAGACATAATATATATGTATATACATATATGTATATTGGCTTAAGTCTACATACGAATACCTATGTACATTTGTGTTTCATATTTTTGTTCATTTAGTTCATGTCATTGTAATTATTATTTTTATTTATATATACCATATATAATGTATATATATTTATTAGTTTGTATGTTATGTAAATGTTGTGTCACATACATAGATGGTAAATATGTATTTTGTATTGACAGTTGAGAACAAAAGGCAGTGTTGCACGTTTCTTTCAAACAGCAGAACTGTTTCTTGTTTTATTTGTTTATTCTCAGGAAAGATTTGATCAGGTTTTATAAGCTCTTTATCTATGAAACATTCTTAAGCAGAAATCATATGAATTATGCTGGGGAAGACTTTTATGGACACAATATATATGATAATTCAAAATTAAAATAATTCTAAAAATATAACAGGAATCCTGAGTTGAGGATTTGGTCTGTGTAGATCGTCACCTAAAAACCAAACCAACGTATTGTCAAAACAAAAAAACAAAAATGAAAATCATTCTTTTTATAACGAAAACTCTAATTTTGTGTCAATATAAGTGTATGATAACCACTATATAACCATTTTGTAACCAAAACTGATTTTTTTTTTTTAATATTAGTGGATTCTATTACATCGTTTTTCCTTCGCTTGTAAACTTATGAAAAGTAATGTTACGTTATTTTGCATTTTAGGTGACGATATGTAAATATGTATATGTATTCATGCAAAATATATAAGAAAAACTAAATTCAACTTTTACTAATGACTTAATTAAATTAATAAAATATTTGCAAAAAGAGCCAACAAGAAAATTGTCACTCTCTTTCTTCGTGCTATATAGCATAATTAATTCAGTTATATTATAGAAATGTTAAACGGCTTGAAGTTTGTTTTACATTTTCTTGTTTTATTTAATTCTTTGTAAACATTATAAATTTTGTATATTTTTTATTTCAGCATTGATTCTTGTCTATAATTTATCTACAATAAAAATAAGACATTTCTTATATGCATACTACTGTGCATGTGTTTGTGTATGTTTGTTTAACTATTCAGCAATTGTTTATGTCTATGTGTATGTACATGTTTGGTTTAGCGCCATACTTTGCTGCTGTACAGTAATTTTTGAACTGTTTGCTTATAAAAGAAAATTATAATACATACATATAAAAGCAACAGGGTAGTTTTCTGTAAAATATCATATAAATGATTTAAATTGTAACTATAAAAATATACAATTTATTATTGGCTCTTAAGTAATCAAAACTAATTTTGTTGTGATTATTTCGGTTGTTTTTGCGTATTTTAGTTTTCATTCGTATTTATGTATGTACATTAAACATTTTGTGTAACAAAAATAATTGCTCTTGAGGTATTCTCTGTAACGCTGCTGTTGCTCACTTTTTTATTTGCAAATTTAGGAATTTTATTGCATACATATTTGGTTCAATATACATATTTTTATCGAGAATATTTTATTTTTGTTTTTTGTGTATTTTTATATTTGTTTTCGTTTTATTTCTATTAGCTTTACGCTTAAATAAGTTTAGCACCTTTTGATTTCATCAAAAAATAATATTATATCCATTTATATGTCTGTACATATTAATGTTGTATTTATAAAGAATATAACTTCAATACAAAATTAAAAAATACACGCTGTGTCTCCACTTAAAAATATGAATCCGGTCAAGTTCAAATTCAAATAACCTATTCAGCTGAAGCATTGAATAAGTTTGTAATTATAGAATTGATACCAATGATGAAATTATTATTACAAAGAAGTGTCAATAAAAACGTCAACTTTTCCAATATACTTTTTAAAAATAACTTTCAATTATTTTTATTAAAATTTTTTAAATTATTTTATAATTTTCAATTGATTTTTGCATTTGGCAAGTAATTTCGCATATTCTTTAGTCAATATTTAGGTCAGATCATTTCAATATTTCATTTAGTTCGAAATTCCACACATTAATTATTGTAGCATGCGAATTACTTTTAGATTATACTTCAATTTGCTTATATTTATTGTATAAAAATGTATATTAAATATGAAACAGTTCTATTGCATGTAGTATATGTAAACAATCTTTTTTATTAATTTCTACTATTTTTATGTTGTTGACCTATTTGAGCAAATCATATAATAAACATATTTTTCTTCTACGGAAATAATAAATTCCTTGTAATATTCGAAAGTAAGTATATGAACCAGTGAAGGCTATGCAGTTTTTTAAGCCAGCGCTTTATTAAATTCCTTTTATAGTGGTTTTTGATGATAAGAAATGTCTTATTTTGTGACATTAAAGAATTTACGTATTTTCGTATATTCACTCGAAATCTATATTTTTTGCATACCTATCTCGTTAATATGCCAATATTTTATATTCGTTTAAAAAAAGTTTTACGACGCAAGCGTCTTTTAAGTTTTATACAAAAAAAGTTTATATTTATATATCTTAAACACAATATCTGGTTATTGCATTTTATATAATTATTATTTATGTATATAACGTTTTCTTATTATACTTATTATAAAAACAAAATTATATGCACAAAAAATTTTCGAAACTTTCAGAAAAATAACGTTTTAAATATTGTATATTCAGTTTTTTATAAAATAAAAATTGCTGCCCAATGAATTTTTACAATTTACGGACCCTTTAGTTGCTTGCAGTTGCATTTATATTTGTATTTTTTTTTTTTTTTTAATATATTTCGATGTTTTCAAAAAAAATTCAAACATTGTGTTATTCTCTAAGCTAAATCTATCTTTGACTTGATCCGTTGTAGTAGCATAATGAGAAATTGCGATTGAGGAGACAAAACGGGACCAAGTATTATATATTTTTAATACAAACAGTTAGAAGAAAAATTATGTAAGATATATATAACATTTGGCTGACATATTATATTTCCAGATGATTATAATTTATAAACATACACGTGTACGTCTATCAATATATACAGGTATTATATAAAAAAAATTATATGAAATAAAAACATCAGAATAATAATATTAAGAGAAATTTGTACCGGCTGTGGAAAAAAAAACTTGTTTTCGTTCTATTCAAACCCCTTCTGCAAATTTTTTTAATAAAAATATTCCTTATAATTTAACAAAAAAAATAAATTGCCGAAATGTCTACAAATATTTAAAATTTCAAAATTTCATTTTATATAATTCAGATAACAACACAAGTTTGTTCGAGTTAAGAACAAACTAATAAATTATATCATTTTTGATATGAATTATTCTGTTTTAACATTGCAACACAGGTTTGTAGCCGACACATAGCTATCGGTTAATAGTGTACTGGCAGCTTAACTCAAAATCTTCCATATTCAGCAAAAAAATTTTAATCAATGTGTAAAATATACCAGATAAATGTGAAAACATGAAGTGTGGAAAAATGTAACTAACATTATGTGTATTTTCCATTTGTTGTTGCGAGGAATTATAAGTATATGTTAAAATAACTTAATATAAGATCGATTTTGAGTTATGACACTTCAAAATAAATTGTTTAATTACCAAAAAAGAAAAAAAAAAACGTAAGCAAGATTAAAAAACATTTATGAGTTTATTACAAATTTTTGGAGTTTTTTTCCGCATAAAAAGTAAATAATCATAAAAAATGACATTACTTACTATTACTGAGAAAGAACTCAATCAATTAGCTTTTTTAAAAACAAACTATTTTGTTTATTCCATTTCTTAAAAACTTTGAACTCAAGCAAATGTTCAATAAAAACAATGATAAAAATCTTTAAAAAGCAAAAAAACCGCATAAGAGTTTATTCTAAACTCTCAATTAAATACCGGTCACTTCGGTTAAGAGGGACCATTTATGTATGCACATACACCGTATCGTTTTATGGTTTTGTTTTTGTTTCTGCTATATATTTCAATGACGACGATAGTGTGACAAACTCAATGGTATTCAATTATTTACTAAAATATTTTAGTTTTTATTATAATTTTTTACATTTGTGGCACTTTCATATCTGAATTAGTAGCATGTGCACATATTGCAAGCTTAAATTCCCACATAGATTTCGTTATTATAACAATAGTTTATTATTATGTTGACTAACGGTTTACATTCCTTTGCAATATACATTTATATAAACTAAATTGAACTAAGTAAAGGGGACTGAACATAAATTGTACGCCTATTTTCATCACTACAAGAATAACCAACCACTATCTTTGTTGGTTGTTGCCCCCTAATTGTATATACATATGTATGTGGTTTTTTGTCCTTTAGTACCAGCAACAATATAACTGATAGCGTTGGAGTTGACATAAGAGTTAGTTGGCTATCTCATTTTGTTTGAAATATTTGTGTATTTACATGTCTTAATAATATGCAATAATAAAAAGCGATACATGATTATGTGGGCGGAATTGCTAAAAAGCGCAAAACCGCATCCCGGTAGGCAACAACGAGCGATGCGGCGACAAATTAGGCGTTGCACGAAAGTTTGACTATATGTATGTATGTTTTTCTTATTCGTTACAATCATTATTTTATAGTACGAGCTAATTCTTCTCAATTATTTGCATATTTTCGTTTCTGTTGCAATTGAATTATATCTATTTATGTATGTATTTAATAATTAGATTTCATAATATTAGCCTTAATCGCTGTTGTTCTCACTTTTTTCTTTTTTTTATACTAAATCTATTAACTATTTGTTTTATACGCGCACAAATGAATTCCAACTGCTAAGCCGACAGCCGACAATACTTTTGTGTCCGTTCCCACGACAGTCGGGTCTACGTAACCGGAATGGACCCTTATTTTTATTCGGCCAAGGACTGTGAACTCGGCAGAATTCTGCTGCTACAACACCAACAACAACTTTTGTGTCGACTCTATCTGGCATCTCTCGTTCAGTTTACTTGTTATTGGTTTTCTTTGTTTTACTCGTTTTTACTTGTTTAGGTTTCTGGGCTTCATCTTTTTGATTCCAAAAGATCTTCGTTACATCTCATTATTATACATTGTTACTTTTGAGTTTCACCAACGTTTTTAGTTGTATTTGTATAAATAATCTTAAGCAACATATTTTATATAGTTTTATAAAAAAAATTGTTTGCTGCTGTTTGTTTGTTTGTAGTTTCATAATCAGTTTTTATTTTCTCTGCTTATAGTGATTCATTTAATTCTCCTTTGCACTACTACCACCATCATTAATATTCCTCGGCCGCGTGTTTGTTTTTGCTCTTGCACTGGCTGTTGCCAATGTGGGTTTGCAGATGCCGTCCGCCTTTAACTACACAATAGGCACACCCTGTACATCCATCATTTCGTCTTGGGGCGATGGGCGTGGCGGAAAAGCTTGCAAATGTGGTGGCGTGGCTCGTGGATAAATGCCACGTTGTGGTGGAAATTGCATGCGGTATGATCCTTCATGATGCTGCCTTGGTGTACGTCTTGGTGATCGTGCTGGCATGCGATTCGCGCGTTGCATGTCCTCTAAAATTGAAGGTGCTACGTATGTGAAACCCTTTAAAATGAAAATAATGAAAACATAATTAGTAAAAAGTATCATATAAGTATATATATACACATGTATATGCATGTAAAATTATTATTATGTTATCTTTAAATTCGAGACAAATGGCAAAGAATGGATGTGCCCGCATAGAGTATCCAAAAAGATTTTAAAATCAATCTAAAAGAAGAAAAATATTAACCGGAGGTATAATACTTTTCACAGGTGCCTATTTTATAGCATAAAAGGGTATAAAAAGATCTTTATCTTGATTTTCATCGATCAGTTTGAACATCACTTATTTTATACACAAGTGGTATATTGTAGTGGTCTGATCTGAAAAACAAAATCGGAAATTGTAGCCTCGAAAAATAACCCAAAATAACAGATGAAGATATATTGCCAAATAAAATAGCTTTTCATACAAGAACTTAATGATCGCATCAGTTTATATGGCAGTCACATAGTATAGTGATCCGATATTGGCATTTCCGACAAATGAGCAGCTTTTTGATAATGGTCGGGGCAAAATTTCATATCGATATCTCAAAAACTGAAGAATCGTGCCGAGCGGGTATCAAAACAATATAATAAACGAGTGGGTGGTGTGTTAAATTAACAAACCAATTAAAACTTTATTTTTAAATATCTGTGCATCATGCAAAACAAACAATCACGTAAATATATGTATATATATAAACGTGAGAATGCATTATTGCACATTTTGTTTTCCTAAAGCTTTCATTATGCCCAATGCTAATTTTGTGAGTCTAGTTCAATGATCCAATTGTCTGTTGGATCGGTTTATGTGTAGTTCAATGTCTTGCGTGCTTTTTAGCGCCAACATACCACAATACTAACAGTGATATTACAAGAGTGCATACATACATATGTTATATAAAAACAAAAATATACTACGTAGAGCATTCGTCATCGACGTCAGTTGCCTGTCTCTTATACACATCTAGATGTGTATAAGAGACAGCCACAATACTAACAGTGATATTACAAGAGTGCATACATACATATGTTATATAAAAACAAAAATATACTACGTAGAGCATTCGTCATCGACGTCAGTTGCTCAACGGCAATAAAATAGTATTCATAGTATTATTTGTAATAGCGTAAAGAGTGTTAGGAGCACGCATGCGCGTACGGTTATTCAAAGCAGATAATAAATAACATGGCCCATTTAAGTACGTATGTGAATACCCTTGGCTACTTACATACATACTACCATATATTTTCTTAGGTATTGCAGTGCTTAAAATGTACTTATGTAAAATTATTACTAACTAAAAAATAGTACAAATTGTTTGCGCATAACTATTGGTCATATAAATATGTTCGTTATCTGCGCCTGCGTTTTCCAACACACAATCCAGGCAATTAACAAAAACCTCTGGTACACAGCATAAAGTGAATACAAATATTTCGTGAGTGTTTCATTAAAATATCAAATAAACTTAATTGTATGTACAAACTGGTATACTATGCATTTACATGTATGAAATTTGGACTTCAATTGTTGTTAATTAGTTACCACAATCGAGTATATTTCATAAAAACTAAATCAAATTTACTGCGTTGCACGAAATCGAGTTTGTTAATTTATGAATTTTTCGCGCAAAGCCTCGTTTATATAGTTCAAGCCTGGAATACTCTCGAGCTTTTAATATACGAAAAATTTAAGTTTATTGTCCTTTAAAATGGGTGTACTAATATATGAAATGCACCTTAACATAATTGTTAAAACAATGAACATTTGACGCAGAAATTGAATTTATTTATTATTGGTGTCCAAAGGATTTACAAGTTATTACTATAGATAGCATTTGGTATAGATTCGATTCGTGAAGTATAATTTTAAAAACAATTACTTAATATTAATTAATTACACTGGTCTACAGTGGTTTTGTTGGTTTTGATATAAGATGGATATTGGATATATTTGTGCACCCAGTTCATGAAACAAACAATGGTTTTGTAAGATTTACTCTCGCTTATTTTTAAACCTTTTTATTTTACTTAACACAAATCAAAAACCATGAAACAAATAATTGAACTACAAGGTTCTTTGTAAAGTAAACAGGTCTTTTTGAATCTAGCGCCCCTGGTGGCGCTAACTGGTGCGTTAGAATCTGCTGTCTTTATCGATTGTCCAGTGAGAATTTCATGGCATTTCATTGATTGGAAGTGAAGTTATTGCGCTTTAAGTGTAAGTATATTTGTTTTATCGGTGCGAAAATGAGCTTTGAGCCAACTTTAAATTTTGTTTTAAAATTGGTACAACTTTTACCGAAACGTTTCAATTAATGAAACAAGTTTTTGGCGATGACTGCCTATCCCGTAGCAGAGTGCACGAGTGGTTTCAACGTTTTCAAAGTGGTCGYGAAGACATAAATGACGATCAACATGTGGGCCAGTCACCGGAAATTTCATCGAAACTGTGGGTGAATTCATCAAAAATCATCCGAAAAAATCATTGAAATTCATGGAGATGGAATTGAACATCTCCAAAACATCGATTTATCGCATTTTCACCAGACTGACGACCAAAAATTGTTCAGAATCCAACATTCGAAGGACGATTATTTGACCAAAAATCACATTTTAACCATTACCACTTCCTGTATTCACCTGATATAGCACAGTGCGACTTCTTCCTTTTCGGAAAAATGCATTTGCCCGTGTAAGGAAAGCGCCATACTGGCGTCCATACCGACCTACGAGCTAAAACACTCGTTCTACATGCTTTTGGACCGTTCAAAAAGCTGTATTGAAGCAGAAGGAGACTATTTTGCATAAAATAAATTGAATTCGCCGAAAATGCCATTTTTCTACTTTTTTAAGTCCTGTTTACTTTGGAACAGACCTTGTATTTCTAATGTCAGTTTTGTTTTGGTAAATTAGGAGACATCGTCCTAAACAGAGAGACAAATGTCGCAAGCATTCAATAAACAGCCTTTTATGCCCTTATCTTTCAATAATCAAATCAAATATTTCATTTCATTTAACTTTTACTTACTAAGATTTAAAATTTGTTTTTATTTGTCACTAAAACAATATATTTCCAGGTCCAATGCTTTGACAAATTGTTTTGATGTGATGTTTCTTTTACCCTATTATTCAGGGTATTGGGCGACAACGACTAAATTTTATTACTAACTGGGCGATATTTTTCAAAAGATTACATAGCAATTATCTTAAAAACAAGAGCAACAATATTCAGGATTTTCATGAATAAAGACGTAATCTGGACACTTGAAAGTATTAAAATTTGCTAAGATATCTAAGACAACAAAAAAAAATTATTTTTGTAGAGCACAATTTTTGGTTATGGTAGAAATCGATGCAAGTATGCACTAAGAATATATAAAATTGATAATTTACCAAAAATAAAAAAAGATAAAACGATAAGAATAGTCATAAGTTGGTTTACCATGCCAAATAGTTTCGTTCAACTTCTGAGAATTACCAGTTTTATAAATTTCGCCCAACGGTCAAAAATTGTTCAAGGTTGGAAAGTATTTAATGAAAAATTTAGGAATAAAAAATAATGGTTCCCTGCCCCCAAACGCCCAAAACATAATAACCGTCCCTCTGAGTAATAGTTTCGGACATACAGCCTTGAGAACTTGTGCGCTCTAGGCTAGCTAGGCTAAGTTCGCTGTCTTTAAACGCGTTTTTCTCGAAACTGTGTTTTTGAAGACGGATGGCAAGATTTCTCAAGAGCTGAAATTTTATACAGGTCTTTGAGATACTTTTAAAGACTTGGACGAAGGATTATTTTCGGAAACAACTATTTCAAAAAAAATGTCGCGAAATTTTCACTGAAATTTAATTTGTATGTAAAAATGTGCCAAAATCCATTTTTCAGTTTTTTCCCATCGTCCAAAGTTGAGGTTTTAACTAAAACACGTATTTTTTCACTTTAGATGATCCTGTAAGGAGTTATCCTGCCAACGCAGCCGTTTCATTTTTCTCAGGGGTCACCGGAAATGTCGTCACATTGGCCGAGTTTAAAATACTTTTTTCCAAAAATTTCAGAATTAACAAAGAATTAATAGTGCATGTTTGTAACAATAAAAAATTTTAATAAAATATTAAATTTTTAAAACGAGAAAAAAATTTTTGAAAAAAGCCTGTTTTTTACCCGATTAAATGTAACCCCTTAATATATGTATGTATTAGGTTTTCAAGTTAAAATCGGCGTTATAAAACGCCTTAGTTTAAATGATTCGTAGAGAATCACTTTTTACATCACTGATTTTTGCCTTTGTTTCATAAACTTATGAAACAACAAAAACAATTATACAAAGAAAGTTAATTGCATTGAATTAGTTAAGGCGTGTTAAAACCGGGTTCGAGCAACTTGCCAGGATTACATAATTTAGTTTTTCTAGTATACAATGTGGACGTATTCATGCGTTATGCTCTAAAAAAACCGTCGCGAAAATATGTTGAGTTTGTTGGCACATGTAATTAGATTGCACTTGCGAATTATGTTCATGTGCATGTGCATGCGCAAATTTATAAGTGTATGTATGTAAATTTACATGATATCACTCACTCGCAGTTAACACGTAACACAGGTAGCCAAGACCGAAAATAGTACAACAAAGTCCAACAAAATAATGAGTTGCCCCACAAGCATTTCGTTAATGTAAAAACGCATGCGCACGCACTAATACGTCTCTTTTTTCTGTTGTTTATTATCCGATATGGTGCGCGTGATATTAGATACATATAATACACATTCATTTATGTATGAGATTGAGTGATATAATTAATCGTAAATGTAGTTTTTAAATAAACCTCACGTTAAACTCACACCAAAATATACATTTATGTATACAATACAATAATATACAATTTATGAAAATAAATTGATACTGACAAGCTTATTTAAAGTAATATGAATGCCTATAATTGGCTTGTCGAAAAGTTCAGAGCTTCAAAAAATGAACGAGGTCAGGGTCTTAACTTACACTGTTTTTGCATAAGGCAAATCCAAACCAGTATATTGACCTCCACCCCGTTATGGAGGGTTTGACCGATACTCTGAGACTTGAAACCGTAAATTTATATTATCGATTTCTTTACAGCACGTTCGTATGCAAATTATATTGATGAAATCATTGACTTATTTTTTTTTTTTTTAATATACTTTCGACTCTTATCTTTACAATTCTGTCCGAGTGTATGTATGTAAAAGGAAAACAGAATTCAATCAATTTAAGAATGACCTTTTCATGGAAGATGGAAAGTTAAATATGTATGATATTTAGTACATTTTATTTTTAAACCTAAAATCTGGTTCAATTAGCGATAATATGTAAAAAATAAAATATCTGTGACAATCAGTGATTTATTTGTAGTGTCATTTATGTTTAGTGCACACTTTTACATATTCAAATCAGCCTTAGCGGAACAATTGGCATCAAATTAGCAACTCCAATTGGAAGATCTCGATTGAATTACCACATCGCCAAGCAGACAATGCAACAAGCAAATCTATGGGGCATGGAGAACGTCGTGACGTTCTTTTAACTCTCTCCTCTGATTCATGACGACGACGTTATCAAACAAAAATAAATGCAAAGCAAGACAAGAAAATACGCGCAAATACCTGTTGTATTGTTAAGGTTTTTTATTTGCGTTAACAACACGGCAAACCATCTCGCCACCAGCCTGCCAGTTGGAGCCATAACCAACTGCCGTTTTGAGCGAAAAGACAGTCAGCGAACGCTACTCAAAGCCAACGGTTTGGTACGAAAACAACCGGAGAAAAGACGCAACAATAAAGTGTTTCCGCCGCGAGCTAAACGGATCGATTAAAAACATAGGTGTTTTAGCTTAAAGACAAATAGTTATCCAAATTTTTGGTGTGTTTTTTTTTTTTTTTGTATATTTTGTTGATTATGTTTAATTATTTGGCGCTTTGAAAAAAGAAAGTCACTCTATGTGTATGTGTGTGTGTGGGGGTGCGCATGAGTATGATGTGATTGAAAAAGTAAACAAAAATACATTGGCCAATTCAAACTACAAACGTGTACTTATTAAATTCATCACACCGTTGTATGAATAATAACTAAATAAAATCCAAATGAAATAAATAAATAAATAATGAAACATACATTTGAAAATTATAACACGCATGCGCATATAAGTGCGCGCTGTAAATTGACGTTAAAGGTGCTCGTCAGCGATATCGACATGAGCACTGAGTGTTTATGGCCTAAAAATGGAATCCAGTAAAGCCATTTACCTACTGCAGTCAACTAAAGCGACGACAGCACGCCAGTGCCAGTAAAGTAAATAAAAGGGGAAAGTCAGAGAAAGGGGCTTGCCAAAAACAAGACAAAATATAAATTAATGTGGTTACAGATTTCCGGCTTTTTAATACAAAACGCCTAAAAAAGAACTGGAACACAATCATAAACTGAATAAGTAAAATAAAAACAAGCGCAAAACAATTTTACAAAAACAAAACACAAAATAAATCGCTCTGGAAAGTGGTTGTCACGGATTTAACGCATTGCAACAGTTTACTTGTGCATGCATTCTATAACCCGTGTGTGTGTGTGTTTATATAAGTTAAATGTGCAACAAAACAGAGAATGAACTAAAATGTCGACAAAATTGAACACTTTCACGCTAAAGTGCCCAAAACTAGGACGATGTTTTATACCTTTTGATACAAATACACGCGCATAACCAGTAAAATGCCCAAGTGAAAGAACTGGAAATCTCGCTGAATCGATTTCTGAAAACAATCTCGTTTTTTGAAGTTGCAGGACGTGAAATGTGAAATTGATAAGCGTTACAGGCACATAAACACCACAGTTTCTTTGTTTCCAACGTTTATAGTGAATGTATACCCTTTTAGTTGTCCAAAAACAAAAACACTTACATTTTTTAAATAAAGAAGTTGGACCCAATCCAATCCAATAATATGTCCAAAAAAGTTATTCATAGCTTTGTTTATTTTTTTAAATTATATAAAATTGATAACTTCGCACTATCCAAAGCACACCTACCAAAGCACAATTTCAAAATTATAGCATCATGATTATTATAAAAAATAATGCATTCAAAATAAAGCAGTTTAAAAATTCAGTGAAATAATTATCGCCAACTATGTATACATTTTTAACTGTATTTAATATTTTCAGCTTCCTAAAAAAATATGATAAAAAACTGACTTAAAAAATAAGAAACATTTCCCTTATAAACAAGCAACAAAGAAATAATCATAACGTAATAGCCGCATAACATAACTTAAGAAACAGCCTTGGAACTTTAAAAATCTAATTGGCACACATAAATAAACAACAACAACGTCAGCGCATCGATGCCTATGCTTTGGAGTCTGTAAGTAAAGATGCTGCTTCATTAACGAAATCAAGAAGCAAACAAGCTACACCATTTTTCAGTGAACTTACTTTTGGCGAATAGTATTGACAGCCGTTAGACAAATAAAAACAAAAGAACATTCCACACTTTGTGTGTGTCAATGATAAAAAAAAAACAAAAAAAAAAA